TACAAGCCACCACATTTGTGTCTGCGTCCATTAATAAGACCACCCAGCCCAATACAAACCACAAGATAAAAAGTGAAATGGCTACACTAGTAGTCTATTTTGTCACCCCGTGTTCTAATGACCTTCTTGCATCATCGACATGAAGTCAGTCAATCAAAAAGAATGGAGGCTCAATAGCATTCCAGGTACTCAGCAGAGCCGCAGTGAGCTCTTTCACGCTGTCGTACTGTCGACCATTAGCGTAAACACACCGACTCAAAATGGACCACAGATTCTCGATCGGATTTAAATCCGGAGACCTGGCTGGCCACGGAAGCACATGCACGCCCCTGTTCCTTGAACCAGTGAATGGACGCTCCGTCCTGCTGATAGAAAGATTAGCAAAAGGCAGCAGCTACTCGGACATAGTGTAGGCGTAATCGTCCGAGTTCTGCTTACCATGCAGCACTGCGAGCTCCGTCTTGCCATAGCGCTGAACCCTTCCCGCACCATTACGGTTCCGGACGATGCTCCTACCACAAAATCTAGAAGGACAAAAATCAATTTACAACGGTGCACAAGACCTGGCTCTACAGCTATTAAAACAGATGTAAAATACTTACCCATTAACTAGGGTTAATATATTTTATTTTCCTATTTAGTGTTCCGAATATACACCATTATGGAGCAGTAATAAAGAGCAAAGTCTATTTTTGGGGATTCTGGGACTTAGGTGTTTATTTGCGAGTCCTATTTTCTTTCTGTATAATTTTGGTAACTAAATTTGGTAATGCTTTTCACAGAGAACACAATGTATTGAAGTTGAAGTTAAATCTTGCTCTCAACGAAAACCAGCGCCTTGTGTAGGAAGCGCATCCGTAAATAAGGCAGGAGGTCGTAAATGCATTTGTCCCACGGCTTCTTAGCGAGGAGCATCTCCAAGACTGCGATACACCATACTCCACACGAGCTACCATCCTGTTGGTTGCACCATTTCACTTTCTCATAGATAACCTGATCTTGTAGTTGCAGCAGATCTTCAATCGTCGCTCGAACGCTCTTTTCGATGATGTTGTAGTTGTGGGAGGATTGCATAGGGTCGAACATGTAACATGTCGCCTTCATTGTCTTGGGATGAATGTTTCGATCAACAAGAAATGTTACCCAGTGCCGATCAATATGGAAGATGCATATGATTCGCTCGTTCTTGGGTTCACTTGCGCGAAAACCATCAGCCGTACGCAGCCTTTGATCCGGAAGTTTAAAGTCTTGATAGCTAGGGTTGATGATGCCGACGCCGCGATACTCATCGCGCAGCACCAACATCGACACTTGAATCGACGCCGTATGAAGCCACAGGTTTTCGCGGAAATCGAGAAGCTGGTACCCCGACACAACCTCCCCGGGGATTTTATTAACGCTGAGGTTTAAAGCTTCCACATCCACTTGTGCTCGTTCTGCAAACACCACAGATTCGGTAAGTTTTGGTGTGAATTCGGTATAAAGTTGTGAGCACAGTACCTTTGTGACGTTGCTCGTATCCGCGAAGGGCTCACGTAGATGTGCAATACACCACTCCACGCCATCAATCCACTCCGTTGTTCTCGCCACCAAGCTGAAACGAGATCGAGCTTCTAAAAGGGAAGCCATGGTATCCAGCTGATCGAAATTCGCGTATCCGTAGTCAGGCCAATACGCCAGAAGATCGATATCTTGCTTGATCATGATGTTTTCAATTGCTGCAATGATTGCAGGCGCTTGCGGTATTGCTTTGATCACTGGAACCTCCTGGTCAACATCCTTGGGGCGCACACTGAGCGCTCCTTGTATCTCAACAGTAGGGAGATCAAACGCATCGATCTTTGCCTTCGCCTTCATGGCACTGTATGGTCCGTCCAGCAGTTTGGCGACATCGTCAAAAGTGACTACCTTGGAAGCTTTATCCTCTCTGTATCTATCCGTCAATTCACGTGCTCTGGCAGCTTCCGCTCGAGCGTGCGCCTTCTTCCTCTGCGCCTTGGTCATGCCATTAATTACCGGTCTCTTTGCGAATGACCACGTCACTGCGGCGACACTTGTGAGGTGCGTCTGCTGTGAATTCGGTGAGACTTTGGGTGGATTTGGTATAGATTTGGTAATCGTTGAGGTTTCGAAGGACGGCGTGGACTCGCCGACAGCATCGAGTTCGCGTACAA